AAATCATCCAGCACATGTATCCAACAGCAATGTTCGCAGACTCACGAACGCTAACTTCCCTTTCATAAAAAATGAACTTTGAACAGGAACGGAAATGTTCAGCTTTTACAGACGCCAGCTGGCCTTCGTGCTAAAAAAATCTTCCTGGGGTCGAAAGTTCATTTTTAGGGCGGCCATAAACTGGTTCTTTTCCCGAAAAGTTAAAGTGAACTTTTCAAAACGCATTTCCGAAACTCGCCAATATGACACAACGAGTCCATCTCTATGATAGAAAAGAGTCAGAGACACATTAAACGGAATCTAGCATTTTTGTGACCACGGACCGAGTCTTCGCTAGATTTTGGGATTATTAGCAACTGACACGAGTTAAATGTGAAGAAAAATAATAACAACCCTATTTTTGTTTGTTTCCCCGCGGCGTCGTATGTGCCGGGTTTTGAGACCACGGGCTCCCTAGACTGTTCTTTGGAGCTAAGGGTGGGTCCTACGTAATTTGTGGAGAAGTCGAACATCGAACATCGAACAAGCGGATAGTAGTTCGATGTTCGACTTTTTGGGTCCATTGAAATTTGCAAAAAAAAAGCGTAAAAAAAGTCCCACACACACATGTTTTTGCTTTCAACAGCCCGCGAGGTTGTTGGACCACGCCCGGAAAACCCAAGGGCAGTCGACTCTCGAAAAGATAAGAGTGTTGAGGAACAGGGACGGCGCCAGGAGGAGGAGCACCTGAAGCAGCCCCACCAGCAGAAACAGCACCGGGTGATAGTAGCTAGCGCTCGAAGCCGCGGGGTGTGAAAGGTAAACTACGCGGGGTGCAGCAAGCACGTTCTGGACGTTACTTGGGGCACTGGGTAGTCGGCCGTATTAGGCCGAGAGAGAGAGGTTAAGAGAGAGTTGGAGAGAGAGTGGGAGAAGGAAACTTGATTGGAGAGAGACGGTGGTGGTGGTGGAGAGAGAGAGGGAAGAAGTGCGCAGCACGCACGCAAGCTCCATCGCACCAACCACGCCAAAAGGATCCCCGTGACTGCACCGGTGGTACCCTCCTACACACGAAATTCCCAACACGTATGTATCCCCTGGGATCCTCACGACCAGATACTGCTGCGAGTATATCTAACATCCCCCCTGCTCGCAACAGTCTCTCACTGAAAACTTCGCTAACACCCGATATCTCAACCAAAAGACGTCTTTCCCAGACGATATGCCACCAAGACTTTACCAGAATAACATAAGAGAGAGAAAAACAATTCAAAGGAATATGAATGCTGCATCGCGCGTAACAAATACTTGGCGCGGGAAATGAAAGAAAACGGGAAACAAAACGAGAAGCAAACCAAAACCAAAACACAACCTATCAGAAAAACAATAAAATGTTCATCCCAAATTCATCACCAAATCACGGTGAGACTCGAAAGCATCCTTCGACATACTCTTCGTAAGGAAGTCTGCACGCTGGTACGGCGACGGCACGTGAATGACCGAAATTTCCTTCCTCTCTACCAGTTCCCTGAGAAAATGGTGCCTTACATCTATGTGCTTCGAGTTCGAGTTTGAGATGGGGTTCTGCGCTAGTTGAATCGCCCCCTGGTTGTCCTCGAA